GTTAGCAATAAAGCTCGCCACTTTGTCTTGCATGGTTGCGATCCGGCCCCGGGGTACCATGCAGTAGTAGGGGGCGTTCTCCTCTCTGTAAGAGGCGGACGGCTCCGCCCAATTGTCCCCCTTCTCAACTGCATGAGAAAGTCTCGCCTCTTGTAGGCGGCTATGTCTTTCTTCTGAGCCTGGAGAACTGTGGCCAGAAGAGCTGGACTCGGACTCGTCCTCTGACGAGTCCGAAGAGGACGACTCCTCCCCTCTCCCAGAGGGGCCCGCCTCCTCCCCCTTAGAAGGAGCAGGAGGAAAATTAGACATGTCAACGGTAAGATGGGAAGGGACCACCTTGGCCCCTCTCTCAGAACTGTCGGCTTGACAGCCGTCTCGTTTCAATTCTACATCTGGCGCCTGGTCAGATGTTTCACTAAGGAGCACCCTTTGGGAGGAGCCGTCTGAGTTTGATATCATAGCAGTCTGTTTCGTTCTGGCCATCACGTTCTGCATAGACACAGATACAGTCGGACTTTGTATAAAGGGCAAAGATGGGTCCAGAAAAGGGCAGGCGGCACTCCTAGTCCTAGATTCAGCCGTCCCCGGTGACCGGCTGATCACTAACTTAGGTCGTGTCGTGTGCTTCCGTGGTGCCATTTCAAAAAATAAAAAGAAAGTTAAAGAGTAAGAGAACTGAGTTACCTGAACGAGTGACGGTTGATGAAGTCTTGGAAGTCCGGTGCAGTCGGCTTGTCAGAACAGGCGGTAGGCAGAAAAGGTCTGAAATGTCAGAGCAAGTTCAGGGGTCCGAATGTTCTCGCAAAATTCTCAAATGTGAAAATGACCGAAGTCAGCACTTCCTTTTATAGGCAAAGTGAGAAGGCGAAGGGTCGCTTCCAAATTCAAAATTTGGGCGGGAAAATCTCTCGGCCGTTTGCAAGGTGACACCTGTAGCAGGCCGTCGCCTGTCACCGTGCGACACCTGTCACAGGCGACACGTGACCAGTCACGTGCCACCTGTGAGGGGCAAATGATTAGGGGATTTTTATCCACCAATCACCGTCTGACAAGTGGACCAACCAGGTTCCGCCACGTGTCCTTCACGAAGGCCAATAGGAGCCTGCCACGTGTCAGTCACAGATACATCCTCTACGGACCAATCGAGGCACGCCACGTGTCCACCCATGCCAAATGGGAAAACCGGCCATCAAGGCCCAATCCAGTCTAGAGGCCCGATCAGCCCTAGGTTTACCTTAAACCTAGAGAGTGGCACGCTTCTCAAGGCTATAAATACTTAATTAATCCTCATTAGTTGGGGAATCAAGAAATCAAGCAGAGAAGAACAGAAATATTACGGAACACCAACAACCGGCTAATCTCGCTAACGACGCAGATTATCAACATTAAACACTCTCACCTAGAGAGATCTTATTGATTTAATTTCCGTATTAATTACTCCTTAATCAGGTACTAACTTGACCGTCGGAGGCGGAGCTCTCAGGAGTCTCCGTTATTTTGCAGGTACAGGCGTCCGGTTCCAGTCTCGGAATTGTAACTCTCCCGCAGGACATCAGAAAACCCCGAAACACATATCAAGCAACATAATAATAATCAATAATTAATCATAATCATAATCATAAATATTAGGAAGAATATAGGAAGCATCATACTTTTAATCATACTTAATATTAAAGATACCCTAGACATGATACTAGGAATCAAAATTAACAATCTAAGCATGATATCTACATCATAAAATCAATTAAACCATTAAAGTACTTACTTGGATGCCTCGTACCTCTTTCGAATTACAAAATACACGCATTAGTAACTTCAAGGAAAATAATAATCAAAACAATTAAATTAAATAATTGAAATAGAGATTTGGGACCAAACCCTCAGAAATCAAAACCTTTCTCGTCTAGGGCGAAGGCAACTTCTAATATGGCTAGGTGTTTCAAGATCTTGTGAATGCGGAATTTTGTATTAAAGCAAGAAAGAAGAGAAAGAAGAGAATGAATGTTAAGAATTATCGAAAAGAGATGAAGATGATGAAAATAATTGATGAACGATTTATTAATAAAAAGAGTTGATTAATGGTCAATGAATATTGATCATGGGTAATTGAAAAAGTGATTGTTGATGAATGAAAATTGATGATCGAAAACGGAGTTTATTAAAACTTAAGAATAAAGAGAATTGGTGAATCTTGGTGAATGAAAACGGAGTTTTTGATACGATATTTATAGAGAAAATCATCCAAAAAAGATAATTTATCAAAACAGAGTCTGAAGACCACAAAACCACCTTGGCGCCAGGACCAGTGGCTAGCGCCAGGTGCCAATGGCTGGCGTCTGGTGCCAATTTTGATTCCAGGCGCCAAGGCCTGGGGTTGGACGTCAAACCGGCTTTTAACGCACTTTCAAAAATCTGATAATTTTACTGTACTGGAAGATAAAATAATATAATTTCAGTCGAAAATGCTATTTGATCTTATTAAAACTCTAAAGAATCCTAATTGAATTAAGAATGATAAGACCTTCCAGAATGTTCTAGAAGACTAAAATCATTCCTAATTACATTAGGAATGATAAATCATATTAGGCCCTCCCCTAGATCATTGGGCCGTACTTAAAGCTCAAACCGGGCCCAGTTTAGTAAATTGGCTATAAATTCCTCAATATTCATCGGAATTGGGCTTATAATATATCGTTGGAAAGGTCTTTGCAAGCCCCATCCAACTACACCACTATTGGACCCATATCATGGACCAACAAAACTGGATTGGCTGTTTTCTTAAAAATAAAGTTTTCAAAAACAGAGAGAAGAAAAAAGAATTAAAACTTTCCGCAACACTAGACCTTTCCACACTTTCGTTTCATTCAATTATGATTCGACGTGTAAGGTACTCATCACTGGGTTTGGTTTTGGGGAGACACAAATGGGTGTCTACAACTATCGACTAAAGAGTTCTTCGATCCCTGTGTATGTTCAACAGTAAAAGAGAATTGGTTAAGCCATAATTGCCAACGCACGAGTCTCCCTAGCGCTTGCATATTAGATAAATTTTTTTTAACAAAACCGAGTATGCCTTTGCAATCTGTTCTTATTAAGAACTGTTTAGGGGCTAAGAAGATTAAGAACTTATCGATCCCTCTAATGACTACAAGGATTTCCTTTTGCATTATGGGATAATTTAACTCAGCTTTATTAAAACTTCCACTACTATATTTGCAAAGTCTTTCTCCTTCTTTAATTTTTAACAAAACACTCCAATGCTCATTACTAGCATCTGTATCAAGGATTAAATCATCTTCACTAGTGGGTAGTGTTAGTACAGGAAGATCTTTACACACAACTTTTAAATTTTGAGCAATTTTGGAATCACTTTCCTTCCAGTTCCAAGTTATTTCTTTCTTGAGTTTTTTCTTTAATGGTTTTTTAATAGAGCAAGATTTTCTATGAAATCTGAAGCAGAGGTTAAACATCCTATAAATCTTTCTAGTTGTTTTCTATCTTCAATTTTATCTGAAAATTTTTCAATCTTTTCTAAAATATGTTTTTGTAGTATTATTTGCCCCGCTTTAATTTCTAATCCAAGAAACTCAATTTCTTGTTTAGCATAAATACATTTATCTTTTCCAAGGATTATACCATGATCTGCACTTTTTTTAGTTACTACTTTAAGATCATTCTTATGTTGTTCTAAATCTTTTGAGAATATTAGGATATCATCTAATAGACCAAACAACAATGATTAAGCTCTCTAAAAATATTATCCATTCTTCTCTGAAATATTTGTGGAGCATTTTTTAATCCAAAAGGCATTACTAGCCATTCATAATGCCCTTGAGGGGCACTAAATTCAGTTCATGGAATGCTTTCTTCTTCCATTTTAATTTGCCAGTAGCCACTCTTACAATCCATTTTAGAAAACCATGTGGCTCCTTGTATTCTATTAAATAACACAATTTTATTAGGAAAGTAATATCCATAAAAAACAGTATTGTCATTTAGCTGTTTATAATTAATGACCATTCTAGCTTTACCTCTTTTTTCTTCTGCATGATTTCTTACCATGAATGCTGGACTATTATGAGGACTTTTGCTATTCCTAATAAAGCTTTTATTAAGCAATTCTTTTATTTGTTCATCAAACTCCTGAATATCTTGGTAGGAATAGACCATTTGTCTTACTCTAATAATCTTATTTAGATTTGTTAGAGTTATCTTAGCAAATGCCTTATCCTTTTTCCCAATGTTCTAAAGGATTTGTTGAATATAATTTTTCACATAACTTTTCTTGCTGCTTATTTATCTGATCTATTAATGATGAATCACACTCAGAAATTCTAAGTGCAACCTCTCGTTGTGTAGGAGTAACCCTATCACCACGCTGGCTGTGCTTAAATTCCATAGTCTGATGAGTATAAGCCTTTGTGATTTTCTGTACAGGAACAGAAAGACCATTAATAGTAAAGATTATTTGATCAATTGTTTGAGTGCATGGAGAGTATAATCTTTGAAAATTATTTCCTATTATCATATCATGACTAGGTTGATTAGTTGCCCATAAAATAGGAATAACACATTGAACTCCTCCAATTTCCATTGGTAATTCTTCAATTATTTCAGTATGCATCATGACACTATTATTAGCAATTCTAACTTGCATAGGATTTTTAGCCTTTTTCCACAAGAATTCTGGAAAAAATGTCCTCTTTCCAAAACATGTTGAAGAACCACTATCAATATATGCATATAATTTATATTTATTATAAGGAAATTTTGTAAAAAAAAAACCATTTATAACAACCTTTTTGTTGGAAAAAACCTTATAAAAAATTTTTGGCAAGGAGAAACCAGATTGTAAAATATTTTTGTTGAAGACAACCAAAAACCCCTAATTCACATAATTAACCTCTAATTTCTCTTATTTCTTCTAATTACACTTTTAACTCTCATTTAACTATTTAATAATTAAATTAATGTACAATTTTTTTTTTTAAAAAAAACAAAACAAAACAAAACAATAAAAAACCACCACCACCCAGCCACCCCTTTCTCCTCCCTATTCAAGCCATCGCCTATATTCCTATAACCCCCACTCTCGGCAACCAATCTCCAATCCACCACTGCGTTCGCGACCTTAGCTGTTGCCCGCCGAGCTCCCCTGCTTCGACCAACCAAAAGTTTCTTCCATTCTTTTCTTGTCGTGCCATTTGCTCCTGCCGACAAACAATTCCATGGCAAAATCAACATCTCACAACAAATTTAGGCAATTCAACAACAACAAAAACGAGAGAAAATCACAGAGATAAGAGAGAGAAAGAGAAAAAACCTCGAGGATTGACGACGAAGACGAGATCAGAGCGGAAACAAAGAAGATTAGCGGGGGAGAGAGAAAATTAAGGTGGCATTGATGGAGGATTATTCATTCTGAGCCTCACAGTCACTATATTGGGTGATTTTTTGGGTTAGGGTTTATGAGAGTGGTCTCCGCGAAGATAAAGGGGAAAAGGAAGAGGTCGGTTCGGCGGTGGAGGTTGGTCGGTGGGGGTGGGGGGTTCCAAGCAGCGGCTGGGGATGGGGGGGTTGCTGCCTGCTGCCATGGGAGGGGGAGAAGGAGAAGGTGGCTGGGTGGTGGTGGTAAGGGTGGTTTTTGTTTTTTGTTTTTATTACTTAAATTAACTTAATTATTAGTTAGTTAAGTGACAATTATTAGTAATTAGAAGAATTAAGGGGAAATTAGTAGTTAATTGAGTGATTAGAGATCTTAGGTTGTCTTCAACAAAAATATTTTACAAGCTGGTTTCTCTTTGCCAAAAACTTTTTATAAGGTTTTTCCAACAAAATAGTTGTTATAAATGGTTTTTTATGACAAAATTTCCTTATTATAATCATCAATGCATATATCAATTGGAATATAAATGCTATTAGGATTAGTACTAGATATTTCATTATAAGCTTCCATTTGCATATTAATTTCATCTTCATATACTGGTTCACTCACGGTTTTAGTTTTATATCCAATTACCTTTCTAATATGATTATTTGGATCTTCATTTAACTCTAAAATAGAACATGACCCCATATCAATGCTATGCCTTGCCGGTTGTTTTAAGGCTTTACTTTCATATTTTTCATTTACTTTCTTTAGTAGAACTAATATTTCTTCTTCATCCTCTTCTGGCTTTTCATCACCTTGTTTTTTCATTCTTTTTATTGTTGAATTTTGTCTACTTAGACTTGGTGATCTAAAACTCAGATTTCTCTGTATTTTAGGTTTTTTATTCATTCCAATATGAAGTAATCCTGATCATCAATTAAAATCTTACTTGATCTATTACTAACTGCAGGGTTCATAAAGAATTCCTCCCAAGTTTTTTCAATTTCACTTTCATTAGGATTTACTTTTATAGGAGTAAATTTCTTCTTAGGGTCTCCTCCTTGCTCATATTTCTGAGCATCGACTATTTGTTTCTTAAAAGATGAGTCTATAGTGTTTACCAACTTATAAACCACCTTCCATCTTAATTGTATTGGTCGTGTTCCTTTATGCATTTTCACTCCTTCTGTTAATAGCTTGATAGCTAAAAACTTTGACGCAAAGGAATCCTCTATGCTCACATAATATCTAGGTTCACATATATAGCTTATCGTTCCTTGACTTAAATGACATGTGATACCACTGATTATTTGATCATAAAATTCTTTATGTCTAATATCACAAACCAAGCATTTAACATCCTTGCCAAAATCTTGTAAAGGAGTTATGTATACTTGTACTGCACCAATACAAATATAGCTATAATTTCCTTTTTCTTTATGTTTTTTTTTAATACTTTTCCAGTTTAAAGTATTAATTTCGGCTGCTTTTTGTTCATAATATTCGATTACTATGCGTCCTTCCTTTTCTTCACATACATATTTAGTTCTAGTTTTAAAGAAAGAAGTTTTAAATATTTTATCCTTAGTAATCTGGGGAAAATTCCAACTTTCTTTGTTTACTTGATCTAGGTCATTATCTTCAAATGAATGCTCAGCTCTTTTTAGTTGACCAATCGTCATTTTGATTTTATCTTCCTCATTGTCATCTGATTCTAATTTTCTGACTCTTCTCCTTCCATCATATTATTTATTTCTTCATAATTTTCATCTTCAAACTCATCACTAACTTCAGGTTCTTCATTATATTCATTTTCCTCTTCTATGATTTCTACTATTCCTTTATTATTACATAAAGCCAATTCTAAAGCCTCGTCTTCTGGTATTTCTATGTAATCCCAACTTCCTAAGGCTTCCATTAGTTTATGATTAGCTTTCTTACATTCATTAGAATAATGTCCTAATTCTCCACAAGACCAACACTTACATGTCTTCTTTTTCTCAAGACAATATGTTGCCTTTCTGAAAAACCTACTTGGTTTCCTATATTTATGTTTATGATACTTTTTCTTATAAGTTTCTCCTCTTGATCGGTCAAATTTATTTTTATTATAATTCCTTCTTTTATTATAGTTTTTTTCTTTCACATCCATAGTTGTTTGGGAAATCCCAACAAGTGAGAAATTGTCTCTTCATTTGTTGAGTTCCTGCAACCTCTCTACATTTCTTTTCAATCCATTTTCTTAGAAAAGCAATTCTATTACCTAGGGCATCCCTAGCTAAGAATTTCTCTCTCCATTCTTGATATTTTTCACTAATTTCTTCGTTAAGGGGACTGGGTAAGAGCACTCCAAGATTTGTTTCGTTTTCACCAATTTTATAATAATATGTTTCAAATTCCATAATGTAATTATCAACATATTTCATATTACAGATGGACAAATTACTTAACTTCCTTTGATATTCCATTCGTTTTTCATTAGGATCGGCTCTAGGACTGATGAATTCTAACTTAATATATTGACATAACTGTCTGAACATTATATTAGGTGATTCACTAGCTCTTAATGCAATTTTGACTTCTTCCTCTATTATTCCATCGTACCAGTGTTCTGAAAGGAATGGTGTCCTTCGAACAAGTGTACTATTCCGTTAGTGGGTTCAGAATTATTAGAAAGCTAATATATTCAGTGAGGTTAAGTGATCGGAATGCCTGGGTGGAGGCCGCTTCCGATCAGTAATATTAATGAATAATTAATATTACAACTTAATCTTGACTGAACCCTTCGGGTCACACCCAAGCATTCAACAAACCGAAACGACGAATTAATTCGAAAGGAATTAATGAGTCGACCGAGTAATATTTATTTAGACGTCGGAAATTCGAGCTTAGAGCGTCGAAACCGAGCGTCGGAAGTCGAGTCGAAAAATAGTGAAAGACGAGATGAGAAATAGTAATAAATCAACAAAAGACCAAAATACCCCTAGCATCGGAATGCCCAAGCAAACCGAGTGCTAAGGGCGTATGGCCTAGCAAAGTGGCTAGCATGCGCACCAAACCGAGCCTAGGCTGGCTGGTGCATGCTAGCGCACCCATGCTAGCATCGCAAGGCTAGGCGCTGCCTAGTGCTTGGTAGCATGCTAGGCACAGCCTTGTGCGCGTAATGGCTAGAAAGCCATGCCGCAACAAGCTGCAGCAGCTAGCATGCTAGGCGCGCCAGCTCGCCACAGCTAGTAGCAGCATGGCTAGGCCATTGCTTGCTGCCTAGCAGCGCTGGCCAAGGCACAAGGCCAGCAGCAGCCCGCACAAGCATGTTGGGCTTGCTGGCCAGTAGCGCCCGGCAGCCCGCATGCGAGTGCTGGGCTTGCTGGACGTGGCTGCCACGGACAACAGCACATGCCAGCCCACCTTGGCTGCCTTGGTGCCCAAGGGTGGGTGCCATGTGGCTTGTGGTCCTTGAGTGTGTGTGGAGTGAGGTGGCCGGTTATGGGAAAGGGAGTGGGGAGCAAGTTTGGTCCCCCCCCCCCTTCTCCAAGTGGTCCTCACCTAACCACTCACATGAGCTTGCCACTTGTTGATTTATTACTAGCTTGATTATTAATTTTATTTTAGCTTTAAAATAAAATGGAAAAATCATACTATCCCACATTGATGGGAGAGTAAATGATACTCCCATCATTTCCTATAAATACCCAAGTATGGGCATTGGGAATGATGCTTGAGTAAGAGTTTGAAAAGGCATCACAATTAGTGAAAACCTTTGAACTCAATATAATTACTCGGGTTTTATTGGTCGGGTCTTGCTAACCCCAAGACATTGGACCTAGTCGGCTTTGTTGGTGCGGGTGGACTTCGTTGGAGGTCTCCGTGTGAGCGGGACTTGAAGCTTTCAAGTAAGAGCTCATTTTGGAGCGAAGCACGCGTCAAAGGTAATTAGCTTATCTTAATCTTGTGATTAATTTAATTATGTTTATGGTTATATTTATTGCGAGTGTGGTCTTGTTTTTGGGTTTGTTTCCGCGGTGAGTCAGACTCACCAAACCCCAACAGCGGTATCGGAGCCTCGCTCGTTTATTTTTAAAATCATAATATTTTCAAGGTGTTTTTATGGCTTAATTTTTCTGGTTTTAAGTTGCTAATTAGATTAGTAACTCGTTTTTTCAATTTTTACCTTGTATTAGAGCTGTCTTCAGCTCCCGAACCCAGATTTCAACCCAAAAATAGTGAGTTTTGGGTGGAAAAGGCGTTATGGAAATGGTTTTCCCCTTACAGAACTCGGTTTTAGCCAAAAAAAGACCAGAAATGCATTTTTCGAGGGATTTTTCGTTTTGACGAAAAATTTGAAGTCTTTCTAACCTTGAAAATTGATTGCATATTTATGGTGGTTATGAATTTGGTTCTTTCCTTTTTTTATATGCAATTTTAGACCACTTTAAACATGATTACTTGGTAGTAATTGGTGCTTGAAAGTTTGGTTTTATTTTTCACATAATTGCAAATTGATTGCATTAAGTGTGAAATTGTTATTCTTTGTTGCTTCCAAGTACTAAAGATTCAATCTTTATTTATGATAAGTGATTGAAACTTTGAGTTACTAAATTCCATGAATTTTGGTTAAACTTTGTTGATTTAATCATTTTTTAGTTGATTGGAATCATAAAGTTTAAAACTTGTGATTGAAATTGGTTTATCTTCATATTGCAAGATATAATTTTTCATGAAGTCACAAGTATTAAAGTTGGAGTCTTTATTGAACTTATGTTCATTTTTTACAACTCCCTTTTATTTTGTCAAAATCTCAAGATTAATTTAAAGTGATTAAATTAATAGTGAGAATTGCCCTAATTTATTTCATTACACCAAGTTAAACCAATTTATTAAAGAATGGTTCTTGGAAATAAATTTGGTTAATTGCTTTTGGATGAATTATTTAAGTTGGACTTGTAATTTTTCATTTTTCCTCAAAATTGATTCTAAAATTAATTTAGAATTGATTTATAATGTCACACATAAAATCGATAATTTTCGAAACATTAGCACGCAACACGAGGCCTAAGAGCCCCGAGCTAGCTCTCGGCCAGCTGGGCTGCTCACGCAACCCATATGTGGCTGTCAAGGCTGCTGGGCGCTTCGTTCTTAGGTGTGTGGTGTTGTGCGTCTGTGTGTGCGAGGAAAGGCGTGGGCTGCTGCTCGCTGCCAGCAGCATAGCGCGCCAGCCAGCAGCAAGCAGCAGCATGGCGCAGCAGCATAAGGTTGTACGCGCTGTGCGTGCTGCTACGCTTGGCTGGGCTGGGCGTAGCGCATGCGAGCATAAGCAGCCCACATGCATGCTAGGTGTTGCGGGGGTGCGCATGGGCATACTACGTGATTGTTGTATGATACGTACAATCCCATAATTGGCACAATAACCCCGGGTTATTAAGGCGATGCTATTTTAAAGTTAATTTTAGCGTTGCTTAATATGTAAGTAAGGATAATTTTTGGACTCCAAGTCTTAGTGCTAGGCACTTAGACATTTTGGAAATACGTATTTTGCTTAAATTGTCGTTTTAATTATTGTAATTATTTTGTTTATTTAATTAAA